AGGACTTTTGCTGAGTGAGAAATATTCCATCTTCCAGGGGAAAGATAGCTAGGTCACTTTGGAAAATACTTTCTGCAGTTTTCCTTCTAGCCACATCATGGCTTTATAAAAGCTTTGCAAGAGCTTTAGAAGGTACTCCCTACTGGGCAGGAAGGAAGGCTTGGAACTGGTGCTTAGGGGCTACAGAGGGTTAGTGTCATTGCCTTGTGCTCACTGCTCAGGGCTCTTACTACAGGACTGTAACTATCTCTTCTGGAATTGAGCAAACTCTCAACCAGGTGGTGTTTAGAGGGTCAGGTTACAGGTTCATTCTAGAAGAGAATGTAAGAGAACTAATTTAATACAAAGAGGAACAAACATTCTATTACAGAGAGACCAGAGAGGAAGGGAAAACTGATGTTGGGGAAGGATCCATTATTATGCAGTACTGAGGACACTGCTGGCTTGTAGGGTGGTAGAGGGAGGAATTCAAGGAATAGGAGGTGAGAATCTACTGTCAGCTGTTTGACCAAGTGATTGCTGCAGGTGCCAAGTTAACTGGACTCTGCCCCCTTGTGGACAAAAGTAGTACTGTCATAGATCTTTCATTCAACTGTCTTGGACCACTTGTACATGGCATCAGCCACTTCTGGCTGATCCTCTGTGTGAATAAGGTAGGATGTAAAACCTACACAGAAGAAAGCTGTGTTATTTACCAAGGAAATTGTGTTCAAGCAACTAAGATGAACTGCTTATTAAGGTAGATGGTATCTCATGGACAGGGAAGAACAGATCAAATAGCCAGTAGCAAAATTCCCTATGGGTCTCTAACAATAGAAGTGAGGAATCAGAAGCCCAATAATGAATGAATGGAAAGTCTTTCTATTTATAATAGCCAGGCTATGGTGCTTATCAAGAAATGAGTGATAGAGAGACTTTGAGATTTATACACAAGGGAGTTTTACTGAACTATGAAGAAGAATGAAATTATGCTACTTGTTGGGAAATGGATCATTATATTAAGACAAATATCAAATTTTATTTCTTCTATTTGGAATCTAGATTTTTTTCAGGCATAAAAGTAGAAGAGAACTATTTGTGAGGAGGATCAGCAGGAGAAGGGATGTGAGGGTAGTGGGGCAGTGGATATGATCAAAGAACATTAAACACATGTGTAAGAATGTCATAATAAAATCCATTGGTGTGGGTATGGGTGTGGGCATGCATGCATATGTGCATGTGTACTGCTACTCAGGCTTAAACTGATGGCCTCATACTTTTGCTTAACTTTTTCACTCAAAGCTGGTGCTATCCCACATGAGCTATACTATCACTTCTGGCTTTTTTCAGCTTAATTGAAGATAAAAGTCTTTCCTTCCTGGGCTGATTTTAAACCTTAATCCTTAGATCTCAGCATTCTGAGCAGCAAGGATTACAGGCATGAGACACCAGGGCCTGGCTGTTTAAAACATATCTGTTCTTTAGCGTTATAGCAATGTCTTGGGGTTTGGAGACTATCATCCTGAACTCTGGGCCTGCATACTGTCCCTCAGCTCTTCAGCTCAAGGCTAGTGCTCTACCACTTGAGCCACAGCACCACTTCTGACTTTTTCTGCTTACATGGTGCTGAGGAATTGAACCCAGGGCCTCATGCATGCAAGAGGAGTACTCTACTACTGAGCCACCTTCCCAGCCCTCATCTATTTTTTTTCTAAGGAATTTCATCTGATTTTTAGGGCCAATGGAACTTGTCCAGAGTAGAGCAAAGACTAGCAGTGGTAAGAAAGGTAGAAATGACCTGGGGTGGGGGCTGGGGGGACACAGGTTGCTGAAAGGAAGGCTAGGTTAACAGTTCTGCTCCTCCAGATTCTGAGGGGACTGGTAAAGGCTCAGCATGAGAAACCAGATATGCTATGATCAAAACAGTCTTGGAAGGGAAAGACTGGAAGGTGGTGGTCCTGCCTCACAGCCATTACAGAGGAATGCTTCTGGTGAATCTCCTCAATATGGTCTTTGTTGGTCTAATGCCTGATGGTAGGCAGTCTCTTCAGGAACACAAAAAAAGTTGCAAAACAAGAAATGGCTTGGTTCCCCACACACTCCCCCAAAGAAGGAACAGGACCTCATGTGCATAGCCCAGGGCTGTAACTGCAAGACCAGGATGAGAGCCACTGACTCAGAACACACCTTGTCTCAGGCCAGGGACAGCCTGTTCTTGGTCACATGCAGGTCCCAGCCTGTCCATCTCACCTGAACAAGCTGACCAGAAAGGCAGTGGGGGAGAAGTTGGAAAGTTCCCAGGAGCTTGAATCATCTTCACATGAATCCTTCAGGGATGAACTGGGGTCAACAGCAGCTCTGAGATTGCCAGTGGTGGTCAATGAACTCCCAGCGCAAGGACAAGGCACCTCATGTCTTCCCCCAGTACTCACTGCTCTGCATTAAAGGACTTCTTCCTTTGATCAATTTTCTAATTCCTTAGCTATTTCAAAGAAATACTTGTCCCACACTGCTAAGTCAGACTTCTCACTTTGGGTTTCTGGTACCCAAAAACAAGCTGGGTCCCTGTTTCCCATTGCTCATTCTCACTCTAGTCTGGGAGGTAGAGCCCCCTCCCTATGCCATCAGGATTCAAGAAAATCAAACTGGCAGCCAACAACTGTCACCTTGAAAATAGACCATGGGCACATTTAAACTAGTCTCAGTACTGTAGTGTGTAAAAGCAGAATGGAGTCAGGTCACACCTGTAATCATGGCTACTGAGGAGATTGATATCTGAGAATTACGGTTTGAAGCTAGCCTAGGTAGGAAAGTCCATGAGACTCCTCTCTCCAAAAGAACCAGAAGTGGAGCTGTGGCTCAAGTGGTAGAGTGCTAGCTTTGAGTGACAAAGCTAAGGTGCAGCACCCAGGCTCTGAGTTCAAACCCTAAAAACAAAACAAAACAAAAACCCAAACTTCAAACAACTATACATTCTCCTGCCCAGCCCTCCTGGAACAATCCTTGTCTTCTGGGTCCTCCTTGTTGGAAACTTTGTTAGTCACCACTGAAGATGAGCAACAGGATCCCAGGACTTGGGGGAGGAGGAGATAACAGTGCTGAGGAAGATGAGGGAGAAAAGCAAATCCCATATCAGTGTAGCTAGCAAAGGGGACAGTGAATCAAGAGACTTTGCAAAGGGCCTGTGTTTATGGATGGCAGGAGAAGTGGATACACAAAGTGAGGTTAAGACTTTTTTCTCTTCTGCAAGGAAGGGTTTTTAGAAAGTTTGTTACAACCATGTATCCTTGTGGTCAACATAATTAGAGAATAAAGAATGAAGCCAGTCAAACCCAGCCATTGGCAGGAAGGTGAGGCAGGGCACAGGCAGACACAGTACCAAGGAGAAGCAGGAATAAGAAGCCAAGATAAATGGTTTACTCCTTTTACTTTTCTGAAGCTAGATTGAGAAAAATGTGTACATTGACTTGAGCAATTTTACTAAACCCTTATGTGCTAATTTCCCATGTTGCTTCCCAAGTAGAGACTCACTTGAGGATCTTTTAATATCCCCCTAACTCAGACGGACCATACCCAAGTAAAGCAGAATTTTTTTTTTTTTTGTGTGTGTGTGTGTGTGTGTGTGTGTGTGTGTGTGTGTGTGTGTGTGATGATGATACTGGGGCTTTAACTCAGCCTTGGCACTGTCCCTTAGCCTTTTAGCTCAAAGCTAGTCCTCTATCATTTGAGCCACAGCTCCACTGGTAGCTTTTTGGTGGTTAATTGGAGATAAGAGTCTCACATACTTTCCTGCCTGTGCACCATGATTTTCAGATCTCAGCCTCTTGAGTAGCTAGAATTATAGTCTTGAACCATTGGTGCCTGACTTAAAGAGGAACAACTAAAGGATTTAAAAAAACAAATGAACAAAATCCCCAGGTGTTTTCAATATTTAGATGAGCTAATCATGTTGCCATGATTTTCAGAAGCCCATTATGGTGATGAATACCAATGCCAGAGGGAATGTTTTATCTTGGTCTAGACACTACATGTGAATGAAATTTGTTAAACCTGGAACTCACGGGGTTCCCCACTGAGACTTGGTGAGGCTCTTATTACCTTATAATTTCACTTCTCTACCTTAACTTTTCTGCAACTTACCTCTTTGTGAATGAAATGAAAATAATAGTTCCTTCACAGTTCTATAGTAAAGACTGGTTAAAAATTTAGAAAATGAAAAATACTGTGGCAGGTGCACATCAGCACTTGATCATATGTTTTGAAGAGTCCGTGCTGTTTTTATGAGAACTCAGTTCAAACCTACCTTCTTCACTTCTCCTTCTGAAGCAACTCTCTTCCTTCTCAGTGGCATCTAAGCCCATTACCCACAGGTCCCTCCCTTTCTTCTCTTTCCGTCCTTCCCACATTCAATCAGCTTCCTATCAGTTGCTGTCAGGAAGCAGCCAGGCACAGGGGATTTTTTCACAGCTCCATGATCACAAGGTCATGCTACCTGTGAGAGCAACTGCAAATCCGGCAGGTGAGTGGAGCTTGCACAGACTGGAGCAGGGATAACTCTAGAAGAGATTGGGGAAGATCAGGGAAAAACAGACGAGTATATTATACTAACTGCGGAACTGGGTGGGATTAGGGTTGAAAAAAATCGCAGGAACAGATGTTATTCTGCAATATAGATTAACTAATGTCTATGTATCCAATTCTACATGAAGCATTTTGAAAGCTTTGGGAGAAACAGATCTGCTCACTAGAAAAGTGCTAGCAACAGAACAAACACAATGGAATCCAGGAGAGAAACACCAAACTCTGGTCTGGAAAGGATTTTCTTAGAGAGCTGTACCTCCAGCTAGATCTTGTGAGGCAGACATGATTTTAATTAGCAGTGAAGAGGAAATGAAGCAGCCTGAAAAGACAGAGGAGCAGTCAGGGCTTGGAGGCAAAACATCTGACTATTCTCTGTGCCTTTCTGTTTCTCTTACTTTCTAGGAGTTAAAGGCAGAGATGTGAAGGGGATTTTACCTGTGATGGTGCTAATGGTGATCATTTTCTTGCTACTTCTGTTCTGGGAAAACGAGCTGAATGATAATGTTGTGATGACATCGTTAGAACACTTGAATGTAGACTACCCTCAGAATGGTGTTCCTCTAAGGTACTGCAACTATATGATCCTCCAGAGAGGAATAAGAGAACCTGACCACGCATGCAAAAAGGAGCATGTCTTCATCCATGAGAGGCCTCAAAAGATCAATAGCATTTGTACTTCTCCCAAGAAAGTGCCTTGCCAAAACCATTCTACTGTATTATGCTTCCAGAGCCAGACAAGGCTCAAAATGACAGTCTGCCAGCTTATTGATGGCACCAGATACCCTGCCTGTAGGTACCATATTTCCCTCACAACAGGGTTTGTGCTCATCACATGTGATGGCTTTGGGCCAGTCAATTTACAAGGATATATTGAATAATTTGAGATCAGTGCCTGAGTCTGAGACCTTCTCATCTCTGCTCAGCTGCTCTGGGACAAAGCTGAACCATGGACCAGCGGTAATGCTTTGAGTGAAATGAATGGTCAATTTATCCTTCCAGTATTGCTGAAGTGCAATCACTTTGTTTCAATAAAAAAGAAAAAAAACTTTACTGAATTAAACCATAAACTCTGTATGTGCTTTTATTTTTTTATCCTTGTCTTTGAGCCATGAGAGGAAAGCTGTGGAATTCAGATGAAATGAGGGAGAAAGACACTTCAGGGGAAAAACTTTAGGGAGATCATTAACTCCTTCTAGTAATCTAGATAAACACTAATTAAGTCAATGGTCTACGCTATTAAGAATGAATGCAAGGGGGCTGGGAAGGTGGCTCAATGGTAGAGCGCTTGCCTTGCATGCCTGAGGCCCTGGGTTCGATTCCTCAGCACCACATAAGCAAAAAGAAAAAAGCCGGAAGTGGTGCTGTGGCTCA